ATTTGCTGAACAGATAAAGGGAGCTTTAACCCAAAGAATGGCATGTAATATATGACCTTGGCTTTCAAAAGGTTTATTTTTGTTCATGCGACAAAATAAGGTTTTAATATTAAATATAGGGTTGGATTTGACTTGGCAGATACCAGAGCCTTCCATTACCGCTGTAGTCATAATATAAAACTATCTGATATGTGCCAGTGGCCATGCAGCAAGCCAAGAATTTCTCCATCAGTGTTTATTTTTGTGAAAACTTAGCTGGTTGCTTTGCAATTGGGTTGCCTATAAAGGTGATGTGTCCTTGTGTTGGAGGGGGCAAAGCAGTGGTGGGCACAATATGACCCATGCTGACTCTTTATAGTTAGCATCTTTAGTCTTGGGGCAATATATGGATTTATTTTTTTTTCCTTCTTAGCATTTTAGAAGTGTTTACAAGAAACTTTCATGCAAAACTGCAGGGTTCACCAGAACCAAGACGTAAAACTATTTGAAATATTCAGATCTGTTAGTACAGAAAGTTAATGCTGTGTTTCAGCTTGTGAAGCTGGGGCCACGCACGGATACAAAGTACTAATTTTGAGGTTTCCTTCCTGCACACCCTCAGATCATCATCTTGCTGTAAAACTGAGGCGCTTTTGGACTGCTACATTGTAATAGTTTTGCTGAAGAAATGACCTGCAAAACACTTCAGTGTTGAGATGCTGAACTGAGCTCCAAAGCCTTTGATCTAAATTGGCTTTAGTCTGAATCAGTTACCTTCAGATTAAACAAACAAACAAAACCACAAAAACAAACAAAGAAAACCACCACCCCACCAAAACAACAACAACAAAAAAAACCAAACGACCTAACTGTGACCAAAAAATCCCACCCTCATCTCCCTAGCTTGCAGAGAAACCAACCCAAAATAATTCCAGAATCTTGCTGCTGTGCATCACAAAGTGTGTAATCAAAGTCTGTTGCCTCTGCAGCTGACAGAGGAGTTGGGGTTAGACTGACCTGCTGTGGACACTTTGCTGGCTGTGGAAGGGAGCAAGTTAGAACAGGTGCAGGTAGCAGTGAACTTGGGAAGGTCAGTGGAGGAAGAGGTAACAGCTTCCATGTGCTTTAGCAGGACTTCATCCATCTATGGGTTATCCTCACCTCTCTACTCATTTTTTTGTGGAAATGAGGCTTGTTTGGTCTTTCTCGTCTGGAATTCTTGTTTGGTTTTTTTAGCTTGTTCTTTCACTGTGGCTGGCTGAAGGTGGTTGACTTCTCTGGAAGTTTTCTGGAAGTTTGAGGGAAATTTGGAACTTGTGGGAAGAAGCATGAGTGTGAACACATACAAGCCTGCAAGGTGTGGTCCTTTTTTCATTCAGTTCCTTGTCATCCCCCCTAAGATAATTCTCAAGCAGTGTACTCTGCAAGGAGGAGGCTGCCATGAGATTCCAGTGTTTCCACATGGAATATGAGGGAGAAGCCTCTTTGTCCTTGTGAAGGATAATAAACCATTTGCTCTGTCTTCCATTGGCACATGTATCTGGAGATCTTGGGCTTCTAACTGGGCAAAATCATTTCCCATGCATTTGATGGCTGTGCCTACTACTTGCCTCTCCACCAGGAGACTGATGCATCCTTACACTGGCAAATTTTGGAGTTAGGGCTAGTGTAAGCACTTGCATCCAAGTGAAAAGGACTTCCATAAGAGAAGCCAAGCTGCATAACTTGGCTACTGGATACTTCTCGGTGATTTTCATTAGACCAAGGGTCAGAAGCATGTGGCAAGGTTACCAGGTTTGTGTAGCTCCTGAAGCTCGTGTCTGCCTCCATTCTCAGGTGCATCCTCCTAACCTTGGCCAGGAGCTCTGATCCTGGATTACGGTCCATTGTTCAGTGACAGAAATGTCATGGCAGCTGTTGAAACTACATTCAATTTACTGTCAAATAAAAGACCTTTTTGGAGGATAAAAGCAAAAGCTTTGGAAAAAATACTAGCTGAAAATTACTGTCCTAATTACATTCTGAATATTAATATTTCTTCCTCTGAAAGACTCGTCTAAATTAGACACAAAAAGTTACCAAAATAATCACAAGTTTTTAAAGCCATGTGTCACAATTTCCTCAAAACCAGATTACTAACCTAAAATTAAACAGATCAAAGACTTTTACTTTATAGACTGTTACTTCAGAACAGCTGCTTAGAGCAAGTGAATTGCATGCATTCAAATTTTCCCTGTAACAAAGCTGTGTATTTTCAGCAAACTGTGACCATTAACTATTCAAAAACATTTTAAATCTAATCTTTAAATCTTATGTGCAAATAGGATTTTTCTAATATTTAACTGGTAATTTAAGAATTTGAAAATTATAATCATTGTATACTGATGCTGCTGTATATTCTGAGTTATTTTTGGAAGATACATATGGATTCTTCAGGAATTTTTTAAAATCTTAGAAGAGAAGTAACTTAGTGCTTGTTTCCTTATCTTTTATTCTGTTTAGTAGTTCTCTGTTTTAGAGACTTTCACTACTATATGAACAAGTTGATGTAAGTGACGTCGCCTGTCAGTTTTACTGATTTGTGACTACTGTTATGTTGCTGAGGAGCAATGTTCTCCTAAATGTTGCTTTGATGGATACTCACCTGAACACTTCTGTTAATCAGTAACTTTCATAGGGATCAATATAGAGCATGCGTGGTCTTCCTTTTAACAGTTACTTTTGAGAAGCAGAGATCCAAGAAGTTAAAAAAAAAGCCCACTAAACTCTAGCTCATTGCATATTAGAAGTAAAGCTGTGTTGTTTCAGAACATGCCTTGAAAGGAGGAAATTCAATAGGGAGCCATCTTACTTTCCAAAAAATTTAACTGTGAAAGATCCGCTTGAAGGCTTTTTGTTGACTTTGATCTTTCTTAAAATTGACCCATTCATAATGTGTTTCAGTTTCTGGTTTTTCCTGGAATCAATCCTTGAAAATTATCCACTTTGAAGCGTTTTTGTTTCTCCCTTTAAGAAATATTTGTATTTTTCCTTTGCTAGCTGATATGTGAAACTAATAAAATACTAGAGGGGTGCTTGGATGTACAAAGTACAACTTTGCATTGGTGAGGCTGTCACTGTACTGTGTCAGTCTGTTTGGTAGACCTCCATGATTGCAGGACACAGGATTCACTGCACATCCAGATTCCTGGATGGCTGGTTACTCAATAATCTCTTGCTTTGTTTGAGAACCAAATGTAATGATTGTTGCTTAAAGGTGTATTTCTTTCCTAAAAGAGGTTTTATATGTACCAGCTGAGCATTCTGAAATGGGTTTTCTGCCCTGTTCATAGAGAATTTGCTTCTGTAGTATTAATTCTCAAATTCTTTGTTGAGGATAATGTTGAGAGAAATAAAAATGGGCATGCTTGTATATTGTTATACTAATATTTGCTATATTGTTTACTCCTCTATTGCAGATGTCAGAATGACTTTCAATACTTCATTGTTTTCAATCACAGATTTTTTTTTCCAAATTTTTTTCCTTAGCATTTAAAAAAAAAAGAAGCTTTCACTCAAAACAGGAGGGTTCAGCATAAAGCAAACTATGTGGAATATTCAGATCTCTTAACACAGAAACTTAATGCTGTGTTGCAGCTTTCAGGTTTTGTACCTGGGGCCACATGCAGATAAAAAATACTAATTTTGAGGTTTCCTTCCTGCATATGCTCTATCTCAGATCGTCTGAGATGCATTGTAATTGTAATTACTGTTGTTACCATTTTGGGCTGTCCCATAGTCTAGTTCTGTCATAGGGTTTGTTTCTCAGCTACTTTTATTACAACATTTGATAGTCAACTACAATCACACTTTCCTTGGAGAATCCTCAGAGTTACTTTGCATGGTGGATTTGCATCAATGCTTAAGTCTGATCAGTTTTAAGACTCGTCCTTGTCATTATAAATCATTTCTGCTTCAAACCCGTATGACTGGAACAGTCCTTCCAACACTTGCAGCTGGTCACTGCACTGCTGGTGAGCTGTGTTTTTCAAATGGAAAGTGCTTTTGTTACTTTCTAGACTGCTCTGTTTGTCTGCTTTTAGAAGTAGTACAGTGTTATTAAACCTTTATGCATCATATCTTTCATATGTGCCAGCAAGGTATGAGCATCCAAGACATTTGCAAACTTTCTCCAGAGAATTTGCCAGTGGCTGCAGGTGTTGGAGATTTGAACTTGCAGAATGTTACTAGTTTATGAAAGCTTCTGTAAGGTGTCTTTATGCTCAGTGTAAATCCTTCCTTCTTTCCTCTGCCTTTGTGGAACAGTTACAGCAAATGAGCGAGGGATGAAATGACAGTGGTAGGAATCACATAAATGTTCCCAACTTGCTTTCAAGTTTGCAAGCTTATATATTTCTCCATGAGGTTTCTTATTTTCCACAGGCAAATGTGGCATTTTTAGCTGCTGGGGATTTAGGAATTAGTGCATTGTGGGAGAGGTTATTAACTTTCTGCCTGCATCTCCTTGTTTCTCCCTCCCCTGCTGACCATCCGCAACATAGAAATTGTGTGTTGTTCATCAGAATGTTCAGCTGTTTCAACCCAGAAAACTTCTACCCAGTACTTCAGTTGCATCCCACTTCTCAATGCATAGAAATTTTTATTCACAAGGGTGGAATAACATTATTTTCTGTTATGCACTTTCTTCGGTGTTCCCATTTAGCTATCAGTGCAAAACTTACAATGATGTTTCAAAAACAAATTCAGGTTGCTGAAAATCCCACCAGTCCCAGGAAAGAAGTCATGGTTCCAAGACTGCATTATTCTAACTGAAAACACTACTCTGATAGTTATCTTTGAAATTGTATTGCCTCAGCTAATCTAACCATGTTATGCCATTTGAGCCAAAGTAGGCTGAAAGAGAAGTTCTAAATTTATCTTTTCTATGAGGAGAACACTCATCCTTTTTCCACGGTCCTAAGCTTAAAGCCTGCTCTGGTTACAAGAAGTATGTTGTGACTTTTTCTTTTCGTTCCCTCCAGGTTTACGGGAACAGATGGACCAAGTGGTTTCGGATTTGAGCTGACATTTCGACTGAAGAGAGAAACAGGGGAGTCGGCGCCGCCCACGTGGCCAGCAGAGCTGATGCAGGGCTTGGCCAGATACGTCTTCCAGTCAGGTACCGCAGGGTTCGATACACGGCCTCGCTTTTTCCTGCTCTGGTTCTGAAGGGGCACATCTGTTACACCGTGTGACGCTTTTCTCATCGGCACCCAATCAAATCTTAAGAATTGTCGTTTTGTGGGAACCCAAAAGAATGTGTTCCTTCCATCAGCCCAGCTTGCTGGGACAGAATGCACTGCTGTTCAGGTAACTGCAAGTCCCAAGTACTGAAAAGCTGAAGGTACAGAACAGCCAGTAACTATAGGAATTCTGCCCAGTGACTCTTTGTTTCTTTTCTGCATAGTTGGATTCATCTTCTCTCAGCAAGAAAAGCACATTTGCTTATCCTGAATGGCTCAGGAGCAGCCATCTGATAAAGTCTCACTTCTCAGCAGAAGGGTTATAACTTCCAAAAACATTGCAGCTCCTTCACAACCAAATCTCTTCCAATGGTTCCTGCAGTTGAGGAGTAGCAATGTATGTAAACACAGAGCTCTTGAGATGTGAAAATATAAAAGTCCTAAGGGATGCTAAGGCTGAGAGGGCCAAGGAATTAACAATTGTGAATCATTAATGCAGATAGAGACTTGCCAGAAAACTGGGAACCAAGGTGCCTACAAATGACCCTCTTGCACTGTTCTTTCAGGGTTTCATGTATATCAGTAGACTGAATGTTGGTTTCAGTGTTAGCACATGAAGACTTGTGGAATGGCTAAGTTCCTAATGTACTTAAAAGGCACTTTGCAGCATCACAAGATCTGAATGAAAATATTTGAAGAACATTTTTTAACCTAGTTTGAGGTCCTTTGCAGGTAAAGTACCTTCTAAATCAATGATTATCGAATTTCTAACATTTGGTACCTGCTCTACTAGTTAATAAATTGCTCAGTAACTTCTGATTCTGTCACTGGTTTTCAGTCAGCTGGCTGACTCTCAAAGGGAAAAGGTCTGGATAAGAACAGGATTGCTCAGCTAACATCTGTGACAAATCTCTGAGGCAGTGGCAACTCTTGTGGGGTATTTTTCTAAATATTCACTGACGTAGACCAGTGCCAGCACAGACAATTGCTTGTCTTTTTGTAACCTTTGCTGTGTAGCTGTCTTCACCATTTGCCATCCAAAATTTGGCTCACCTTTCTGTCTTGATTTTTGCTACTGTTAAGCATCTGAATCCATGTGACTGTCATTATTTTTGCCATTGTTTGAGGTTCCCATTCCTGCCTAAAATTGTATTGTATAATAGCTCTTTGATACTGACCATGCAGCGATGAATTCATACCCACATTTTCTGTGCAATGATTGCAGAGTCCAAAGAAAACATCTGTGTCTAAAGTCTCCCTCTTAGATATAAAATAACATACATGTTTCATGTTAACTTACCTTACGTTAAGGCCTTTTTGGAGGCTTTTAAATTTTCTAGTCCATGGTAGGTTCTCTTAACTGTCTTTTTGATAGAGTAGTTTCCATGCCTTCTGTTCACCCACTAAGCAGCCTCTCTATAGCAGTTGCTTGTTTGTCTCTGTCTTTTCGTGGGTGAGAGAAGGTCTGCAGAGTGAAACAGGATTTGGTAAGGTACTTTAGGGCAAACTTCTTGGTGACTAAGCTGGCATTTGAGGCAGAGACTTCCCTTGTTTGGTTCCTGCCCTAATGTAGTCCCTCCTTTTTGACCTCAAAGCCAAAGAACTGTTTTTAGACTGAAAAGAGTGGTTGTGCCCATACATATCAATCTGGCGTGAACTTCTCAGGCCCTCCAGTGTTATCCACTGCTTATCCATGCTGGTTTTGACTTTCTATCCACCATGACTCTTTAAAGGCACTGCTCCAATACACGCTAACAGATTCTAGCCTCTGGGTGTTTAGCTCTCAATTTGCATTATGAAAAACAAGAGTGTATGAATCATAAATTGACTTTTTTCTTTTACTATGAAATGGGGTATGAGCCAACACTACATTTATTGGACAATGGGCAAACCACATGCTGGGTTACCTTAGGAAGAGCATGAGCAACAGATTAAGGGAAGTTATTAACTCTTTGGCATGGCACTGGGGAGGCCTCACTTAAAATACTGTGTTCTGGTTTGGGCCTTCCAGTTTAAGAGATACTGAAAAACTGGAGGTAGTCCAAGGTGGTCAGGGTCCGAGGGCACATAAGCTATGAGGAGAGCTGGGGGAGCAGGGTCGGTTTAGCCTGGGAAGAGAAGGCCAGGGTGATCTAATCAGAGCCTACAGCTGTTGGGAGAGTAGTTACAAGATTGTGGGGTCAAGCCCTAGATAATACATCAAGGGACTACAGCTCTGAATTGCAGTGTGGGAGGCCCTGGAAGGGCTTCAGGGAAAATTCATGCACAAGGAGAGTTGGAAAGGACAGGGAATGGTTTATAAGAGAGATGCTGGATCTCTGTTTCCGAAAATGTTCGGAACTTGGTTCAAAAGAGCCAAGTTGGCCCTGATCTAGCATTGGTGATGGCTCCACTTCAAATAGGCAGGCTGGACAAGAGACCTGCAGAGGCTTCTTAAAATATTACAGAAGTGTTGGATTTTTTTTTTCCATAGTGCTTTATGCCCTTAAGCAAGCAGCTCTGTGCTATCACCAAGTGTTACTAACCATTCCTTGCCTTGTAAAAAGGGAATCTGTGTGCTGTTGCAACAAGTGAACAAGCTCTAGTTTTATTTCAGTACAAATTGGATATCATATGTCTTTTGAATAGAAACCTTCTCAGACTCAAATCTTCTAAAGATATCAAGGTTAATCCTGACAAGATGGTGCATTTAAAACTAAGACTTGTGATAGGGCATACTCTATCGTGTTTCTTCTTGATCTCTCAGGGCCATACCAGTTGACCACAGTTAGGTGCAGTAAGCTTCTAATTTAGTCAAAGCACTCTCACTCCATTGCTCTTCAGAGCCCTGAATCCTTCTGCTACATGTACTGTGTCCCACTTTGTTTTGCTTTACCTCCACAAGCTGTCACCTCTGAGGCTGGCAATCTCCAGAGCAGTTCCCATGTTCTCCCTTGCATCACTCCTGGGTAACCAGGCACCTATTCCTCAGCAATGCTACTGGTTTGGTTTTTTTGGCCTAATAGGATTTCCCCTAATTTGACATTCTGACTCTGAAAAGCCAAGTGAGCTTCTGCCGTTGTCTTTTTAACTTTTTTTTTTTTAACAGGACTTCTCTGATTACATGTCAAAACTTTAAAACTCTGAAGTATTTGAAAGGTTGGCTCTTCTGAAGCTCGTTGGGCACTAGGCAGGCTGTGGCACGACAGCATTGTTTTACATGATGAAAGGTTTCTTTTTGCTCAAGTTCTTTCTGACTGTACCACTTAAAGCATTTGTCAAATGCAACAGTGACAAGCGTTGTTTGACTCTGGTGTATGTACCTTAATGTTGTCCTCTTTGGTTGTTTAAAAAAAATATCTGTGGAGTCTCTTTAATACTCCAAAGTAGCCTTAAAAACATTTGATGAACTGGAACAACTAATGCTTATGAATCCACTCTGAACAAGAAGTAAGAAAAAGAATAAAACCGGCAGAAACTTTTTGGATAGGCTCCAAGCACTTTCGCATGTCAAAAGATTGTTTACTCTGAAAGCTATGCTAAGAGTTAAATTCTTATCTCTTGATAAAAGCCAACTTTTTAGTTATCAGAGAGGCGCTTTGCTGAGTCCAGTTGAAGCTGGGGGAGAGTAAGGTATAGTTATACTCCTGCTGAGCCTGAGCATTTTCAGGTGGTGACGACTGAGTTGAATACTCATCTAGCAGCTACTGCTGTCCTAAATATTATTCCTGTGTATTGCAGTTGCAAAGTATGTCTCATTGCAAAAGGTGTATTTTTGTAACAAACACTTTCAGGCAAATGAATGTTGCATTCCTTTGTTTCTCTCTCTCCTGCACTGTGGCTGTGCTTTAGAAAAGCAGTCTTTTGCATTGAATTTCAAAACTCTTTGAGCCTTGGCTTCTCTGTTCACTGTAACAAGCACTTGATGCTTTGTGCTTTTGATTAAAGGGCACTACTTACCCTCCTTCAACAAAACCAAGCTTGAAAGTCTCAAAAAGTTTTATTTGTGGCTTTATCTGTTCTTAATTTTATCACCGTTTGACCATGAGCATGAATTCCAGCTCTGTTATTTTTAGTTTTAAAAAAACTCCAAACCCTCAAACCTTGAAAATGAAACTGCACAATTCAATGACCTTAGCTTGTCATGGTTCGTGGCTATACTCGAAATATCTCATGGTAGAACAAATTTATACTTCAATTCAAATGAAAAAGAAGGAACGCTTTGCCTGAAGAAAGCTTATCCAGAGCTTAACTCTTTATGTACTGCAGTATTACAATACTTGCTCACTATAGAGAGACTATGGTTTGTGTTTTTCTGAAATTAAAATCTGCACTTTTTTTTCTCTCTAAGGTAAATTTAGATTGTTTTCAAGGGCCTGACTGATATGTGTCCTGAGAGCAATATACTGGAAAAAAACCCAAACAAACAAAAACAACCACAACAAAAACAAACCCCCAAAATGCAAAAGAAAAAAAAAAAAAAGGTTGTTCCAGCATGGATTTATCAAGATTAAATCAGAACAAATTAATTGTGACAAAGTACCAGGCACCATGGGAAGCAGTGAATGTTGGTTACCTTGTTAGTAGTGAGATTTTTTTAATTGTCCTTTCTAACAAGTATGTGAGTGAGCTGAGGAAATGTGATCTTGATAAAAGGTAAAGAAGATGGATACAATACTGGTTGGATATTTAGACTGAGTAATTGGCAATGTGCAGTCATCAACCACAAAAGCTGTGTAGAGTTTGGATTCCTCTAAAATCTCTTGTAGAGCTCATGCAGTTTGGTATTGACCAGGATGATGAAATGCAGAGTATCCTGATGAAATCTGCAGACACAGCAAAGCACTATGGCACAGAGGGCTGGAATTCAGAACAGCCTGAATTCCAGCAACCTACAGAAACAGTCTGAAGTACCGATGTGCAGTAAGGGCGGGGAGGTGCAACAGGTGTGAGGTCC